ACGTGTCTCTGGCTTGCTGCAGTACTTCAGCACAAGCTGGAAGGACAGCATTTCATTTTCTGCTTGAGGACCCTGCAGCCTTCAGGACTCTATTGACTTGAGTAATTTTAGGGCCTGAGGCACCACCTTCAATGTCCTTACCACAACCCAGGCCTTGTCATCACAAGGCTACCACAAACAGCCCATTGTCACGGTCCCCATTAGCAGCTAGTGATTCTCCCAGGCTGCCCTTTACGCATTCCTTTGTCCAGCTGTTGTTCCTTTTCTGTGGTCTATGTCTTCACCTATCCTTTATTCCTCCCCACTCCCTTTTGCTAGCTACAATGAGTTCTGAAGTCAGGGGTCACTGGACCTAAAACGTTAACTCTGCTTTCTCTCCACAGATGCTGCCAGAGCTGATTCTTTCCGGCAATTTCTGATTTTGTTTCTGATTTCCAGCATCTGCAGTTCTTTGTTTAGTCCTTCACTGTAACCTCAGCTGGTGTGGGAATCGATCCCATGCTGCTGGAGTCACTCTGTATTGCAAACCAGCTGCCCAGGTAACCATCCTCTACAGAATGAGATAGCACAGAAGGAGCCCATTTGGCCCGTGCTTGTTTCTTGGTAGGGCTAATGAATTAATTCCACTCTTCTGCTACTCCAGCCCCAAAATCCTGTGGCTTTTGTATTTCTCTCTTCAGTTTGTTGTCATAGTATCCCTACGGGGTGGAAGCAGGCCATTCAGCCTCTCAAGTTCACACCACCTCTCAGAAGGGCATCCCATCCAGACCTGTCCCCCTACCCTATCCCAGTAACCCTGCATTTCCCATGCCTAATCCATCTTGCCTGGACACTACAATTTAGCACAGCCAATCCACCTAATTTACACATCTTTGGACTGTGGGCAGAAACTGGAACACCTGAAGGAAACCCGTGTAGACATGGAGAACATACAAACTTGACCTGATCGAAGTTTATAAACAATGAGGGGTATAGATAGTGAATGGTTGTTGTCTTTTCCCAAGGATGGGGGTTTTCGAGACTAATGGGCACATTTTTAAGGTGAGAGGGAGAAATTTAAAAAAGACATGATGGGTAAATTTTTTTTTTTATACAGAGGGTGATTTGCATGTGGAATGAACTTCCTGAGGAAGTGGTGAATGTGGGTAAAATTACCATGTTTAAAAGACATTTTGGATAAGTACATGCATAGGAAAGGTTTGGAGGGATATGGGCCAAGAGCAGGCAGGTGCGACTAGTTTAGTTTGGCTTTATGTTTGTAATGGACTGGTTGGACCGAAGGGTCTGTTTCCTTGCTGTATGACTCTACACAGACAGTCGCCCGAGGCTAGAATCGAACCTGGGTCCCTGGTGCTGTGAGGCAGCAGTGCCGCCCTTAATCTCCACCCCTCGTACTTCTCACTTGCCTTTGAATTGTCAGACCATAGCAGTTAAGAACGAACCACATTGCTATACCGTGGAATCGCTTTTAGACCAGATCAAGTTGGGATGGTGGAGTGAACCAGATAGGGTTTTTATACCAGAAACTGACAAATGCCATCACTGAAGCTAGCTTTTAAACCATGATTCTCCACTCCCTCCAACTAGACATTAGCCAAATCCTCAGGACTTCAAATCCAGTGACATTACCATGATGCCACATAACAACTCCCACATCTCCCTTACCTCCACTGTCTAAAATTAACTGCCAGATTCGATTTAAAGGGTGCAACAATAGAGATGCAGTAACAGACATTTAATGGGATAGTGCAGAACAGACACATTGCAATGAGAAAAATTCTGAGGGGAGGACCTGTCATCTATAATTGTCTTTTAAAAAAAAAATTAAAGTTAATTTCAAACTTAAGGGGGGAAAAAAGCATATAACACACCGTTGAATGGCAGAATGAACAGAATATGTATTTTAAAAAGGCAATGAATAACTACAAAGTTAATGAGGGAAAATTTAGAGGACTTATTCAATTCAGAGTCTAAGCAGGGAGGGGCTGGCCATTTGGGTCATAGTGCCTGCACCAGCTTTTGAAATGAGCATCATTAATGATACCTTGGCATATCTAGTGCCAACCTCATATTTTTACCCCATACCCTTGCATGTTATTTTTATCTGAATAGTCATCCAATGTTCTCTTGAATGCCTCATCTCAACCTGCTCCATCACACTTCCAGACAGTGCATTCCATACAGTATCTACTAGCAGCCTGAAAATGTTTTTTTTCCCCCCACATTTACCATCCTTGCTTAGAGTCATACAGCATGGAAGCAGACCCTTCAATCCAACTAGTCCATGCTGATCATGTTCCCAAACGAAACTAGTCCCACCTGCCTTCATTCAGACCATATCCCTCCAAAGCTTCCTATTCGTGTATTTATCCAAATGTCTTATAAATGTTGTAACTGTGCCTGCATCTACCACTTAATCTGGCAGTTCATTCCACACACTAACCAATCTGTGTAAAAGAAAATTGCCCCTCATCTCCTTTTTAAATCTTTTTCCTCTCACCTTAAAAATGTGCCCCCTAGTTTTGAACACCCCCACCTTAGGGAAAAGACCTTTGCTTTTCACCTTATCTCTGCCCCTCTTACAAACATCTGTAAGGTCATCCCTCAACTGCCCACATTCCAGTGGAAAAGGTCCCAGTCTACTTTTTTTTTAAAACTCAAACCCTCTATTCCCAGCAACATCCTGGCAAATCTTCTCTGAACCCTCTCCAGTTTAATAGTATCCTTCCTATAACCGGATGACCAGAACTGCACACAGTACTCCAAAAGAAGCCTCCTCAACATGATGTCCCTTCATATACTCAAAGGTCTGAGCAATGAAGGAAAGCATGCTAAATGCCTACTTAATCAGCCTGTCTACCTGTGATACAAATTTCAAAGAATTATGTACCTGATCCCTCAGATCTCTGTTTTACAACACTACCCAGGGCCCTATGATTAATTGCATAAGTCCTGTCCTTGTTTGTTTTACCAAAACACAATGTCTTGTATTTATTCAAATTAAACTCTAATTGCCACTGCTCAGCCCATTGATCCAATTGATCAAGATCTCTTTGTAATCTTAGATAACCTTCTTCACTGTCCACTACACCACCAATTTTGGTGTCATCCACACACTTACAAACCGTGCCTCCTATATTCTCATCCAAAACATGTTTGTAAATGATAAACCAAAGTGGACCTAGTACCAATCCCTGTGGAACACTGCTGGTCCACAGGCATCCAGTCCGCAAAAATAACTCTTCACAACCACCCTCTGTTTCCTACCGTAAAGCCAATTTTTGCATCCAATTTGCTAGCTCACACTGAATCCCAGGTGATCTAACTTTACTAATTAGACTACCATGCGAAACTTTATCAAAGGCTTTACTAAAGTCCAAGTAACCAACATCTACTGTTCTGCCCTCATCAATCATTTTAGTTACTTGCTCAAAAAACTCAAGTTTGTGAGGCACGATTTCCCTCGCACAAAACCATGTTGACTATCCCTAATTATTCCTTGCCACTTTAAATGCGTGTAAATCCTATCTTTCAGTATCACCTCTTAAAAACTTACCCATCACCGATGTCAGACTCACGGGTCGACAGTTCCAGGCTTCTCGTTATAGTCTTTCTTAAATAAAGGCACAACATTAGCCACCCTCCAGCACCTCATCTGTGGTTTAAATGACATAAATATTTCTGCTAGGTGCCCCGCAACTTCCTCCCTAACTTCCCACAACCTCCTGGGATACACTTGATCAGGTCCTGGAAATTTATCTACCTTTATGCTTTCTAAGACTTCCAGCACTTCCTCTTATGCAATGTGAACTGTTTTCAAAACATTAAGAGTTATTTTCCCGCGCTCCCTAGCCTCCATTTCCTTCTTTCTCCACATTAAAAACAGATGCGAAATATTCATTTATGATCTCTCCCATCCCCTGTGGTTCAACACAAAGATGACCTCATTGATCTTTAACGGGCCCTGTCTCTCTAGTTGCTCCTTTGTTCTTAATGTACTGGTAGAATCTCTGGATTATTCTTAACTTTATCTGCCAAGGCTATCTCATAACCCACCTTTGCCTTCCTGATCTCCCTCTTTAGAATTTCCCTACACTCTTTATACTTTTCAAGAGATTAATTTGATCCCAGTTGTCTAAATCTAATATATAATTCGTTTTTTATTCTTGATTAGAAGCCCAATATCTTTATTCATCCATAGTTTCCTGATTTTACCAACCCGGGATTATTCATCCGCAGTTCCCTGATCTTACCAACCCAGGACTCTGGCGGAAGCATGGCAAGGGCTGGAAAGCCCTGAGTGGGATTGCGGCAGTGGAAAGAAAAGTTGAACTCTCTTAAGTTTTTTTTTCTTATCTTATTCTAAGTTAATGCGAATCGCGCCATGTATGTATGATGAAGGTACACACCTTTTGCTGTATTTTTACATTGAATCATGTGACAATAAATGATTCAATTCAATTCCTTACCTTTCACTCTAAGAGGAACGTAATGCCTCTGAACTGTTGTTAACACATTTGAAAGCCTCCCACTCGTCAGTTGTTCCTTTACCTGTGAACAGTCTGTTCCAATCAACTTTTGAAAGTTCTTGTCTCAGACCATTAAAACTTGCCTCTTTTGCAAATCAATTTAAATCTGAGATAACAAGGTGTGGAGCTGGATGAACACAGCAGGCCAAGCAGCATCACAGGAGCAGGAAAGCTGACGTTTCAGGCCTAGACCCATCTTCAGAAAATGAGGGCTTAAATTTAATCTATCAATTTAAATCTCTGCCCTTTTGAAAGATTTTTGAATCCCTTTTGAAAGTTCCTATGGAATTATGCTGCCAATCACCTGTCCCCATTTTCTGATCAGGATTTTGTTTTAATAAAGGTTTTATTATGATAGTGGAGGAATGTGAGTGATTTGGATACGATTGGGAGGGTTGCAAACCCTCGCCCCGCACAAAGATGGCACCCGTCGCTTGAGCGGGGCGGGAGGCTGATTGGCCAGCGGGGCGGATGTGAGGTTGGTGGGTATCCGGCAGCGGTTGGCGGCCAGTGGCCGGGTTGGAGGGAAGGATGAAGCTGGTGTCTCGGGCCGTGTTTGTCCTTTTGCTGCTGTCTGGGCCTTTCGTGGCGGCTGTGGAGCCCATCAGTATGGGTATTGCTGTCGGGGTGGCCACCGCCCTGACCGGCCTCCTTAGCACCTTCCCCACGTTGTACTGCAGGTTCCAGGAGTGCTGCGAGGCCCGGTGGGTGGAGCTCAACTTCACAGGTAACCGCCACTACCCCCCTCCCCCCTCTCCCGGCCCCGGCCCCCCC